AATCTGACTTGGGAGTCACTTGATCAGAAAAAAAAATGGAATAACTTCGTTGCACTCTTTGGTGCTGGCAGTGGTAGCACATTTTTAAGTCAATTTAAAATTGTGATAAAATTGTGCCTTGAGATACGAATTTAATCTGTTACATGACCATGTGCGTCACTCACAACAATTCTCAAATTATCTTTTCCGGTTGAAGTAAATAGAATACCAGTACTCCGTTACAGCCTCCTCCCAAAAGCAAAAAATATTTGTAATTTGTTTTAAATACGAAAACACTGTATTATTCTAATTTATAAGAACATGCAGTAAGATATAACTAAATAGAAAGTCAAGAAATCACACCGTTTTTGTCGCATTTTTTTGCTTCCATTCAATGGATATCATTGTGCTCCTCCTGGTTTGGGTGACTTGGCCTTCTCAGGGCAGTATAAAAGAGGTGGCATTTTAAAAAAAATACGTATCTCTTTCTTTTGTATACATTTTCAATCCTGTACTGTTGAATGTCTGAGTATCTAATAAAGCTCTTCATAAATAAAATGTATTATTATACATAGTTTTATACACATGGAGTTGGTCTCCTCTCCCTAGTCAGCAACAGTTAATAGTATTCGTTCTTCGCAGAGGATAAAGAATGAATGCCTCTGAATATTTTTGTATTCTCTGTCTACATGTGTTGTTCCAACATTTGTTTCCGTTGTATCCGTTGCTAATAACTGCAACGTGGATGCTAATTGTTGGAATGTGACATGTTGTGACCATCTTTGTGACATTTTTATGAAAATGACCTCTAAAATCCTACAGAAAAAAATATCTCTTGAGAACTCATCAAGTTGTACTGCTTTACAGTAATTTGAATATGTCTTTTGACCGGCTGTTCGAAAGGCAATCTCCAAAATCGTTCCCCATTTTGGCTCACACAAAAAATTAAATTTCTCTGGAAGCCCTCATCCGATTTTTAAAATTCTTGCTGCGTTGTATTCAGGTTGAAATGGCCGTTCCAAACTGACTCAGCCTTCTGACAGACTGTCATGAGTGGGTAATCGGGTCACGTCGCTACTATTAGCTAGCCTGTTTGTGGTGTTTTCCATTATGTGTTAGCATTCTGCTAGCAGGTTTTAAGGCAAATGTATGTGGTTGCTTCAAATACACAACACGTTTATCGTCTTTTCTGTTTAGTTTGAAAGTAAACTTCAACTGCAAGTGGCAACAAACAGCCTGAAGTCTCTTTTTTTTGAAGAATTGTTTGCAAGTCAAAGCCAAATAAAAACGCTAATGACGGGTCACTTGTTTCTCAAAGCACCACCATATCACCCAGAACTGTGTGATTGCTGACACCTGATGGTGATCCATCCAGCATGGTTGACACAGACCTTGTTGTCCTGTGAATTTGTGTGACCTGTAGACAAGCTGTCAGGGGAGAGAGTGAAGCAGGTGATGGAGCACATCTGGAAGTTCCAGGAGTTTTGCAACAGCATGACGAGATTGGAGACAGACAGCTATGAGTACGCCTACTTGAAGGCCATCGTCTTGTTCAGTCCCGGTGAGTCTTTATGTCTCACCACTGCTGTGAATAGTCAAATGATGTGGATGTGAGGAATAGAAAAGCAGAAAAACAAAACAGAAATGCATTTGTATGATGTCAACAGATCACCCTGGTGTAGACTGCAGCGGACAGGTGGAAAAGTTTCAAGAAAAAGCCTTGATGGAGCTACAGGACTATGTGCAGAAAACATATCCAGATGACACGTACAGGTATAAAAGGCATTCCTACTTTCTGTGTGGTGACTCCAAGATTTCTATTCCTAAAAGCTATATTAACACACTGCTTAAATATTGGAAAATGATAAAACTACCGACATTATTCAGTTAAATGAAAATTGTACGGTGTACTGAATTACATGCCCACGGTTCTCAATTCTCTTTGTTTTATGTTTAGTTTGACAGTAGATAATTTTACAAACAGTTAAACATTAAATGCAAATGTATTGTATTCAGAAGTCAAATACAACTGAACTATACTTAAAAATGTACTGTACTGGATTTTAAAAAGTAAACAGGCTGTATGCATAGGTACCAATTTCATTATTACAAGTTTCGTTGAATTTCATGTTTTAAAACTAAATTTTATTTGTATTTAATCCAGTGATTACTTCACTTACCACTAGAGAGAGCCCACATACCACTAATTGTACTCGTGTCACATTTTGCAAATCACTGATCTGTCATGCTCCTAAAACTACCAGACTTTGTTTTTCACTCTGCACTTATGGTGGGTGTGTGTGTGCGTGCGTGCGTGCGTGCGTGCATGCGTGCATGTCTCCATCCATCTTCAGGTTGACTCGCATCCTGACTCGACTCCCGGCGCTGCGCCTCATGAACTCCAACATCACCGAGGAGCTCTTCTTTACTGGCTTGATCGGCAACGTCTCAATTGACAGCATCATTCCCTACATCCTCAAGATGGAAACAGCTGAGTATAACAGCCAGGATGTCGACCCCGCTGAGTGATGAGGAAAAACATTTCCAAATCTCCACTTCAGGTACTCTTTGTTCCCTCGAGGGTTGCTCCAGGTTTCGTGTTGAAACTGTGTTAAGCATCCTTTGGAGGCATACTCTCGTCTCAAAAATGAAACCCAATGGTTCAAAATTGCATTTGACCTAAAGATGGAATAATAAAGAATCCAACTAAATACAGTGTAAAAACGAACATATGACGTCTACATTTTTGCCTGCATTTCAAATGTATGTTTTAATACGTATGAATTGCCTTGCGGTACAAACTGGCATCTGATACCTGGTCATGTGCATTTAGTCTAAGCAATTCCAAATGTTATGGAATATAAATATGCGTTGCAATGCCTTTGCTAATCTCTTGATTTATTTTTTTTAATTTCTCTATGAACACATGTAACTAACAACTGGAAGGAGAGCATCTATCAGGTGCATAGGTCTACTTGTGTAATAGCAGCACAAAGGACCTCCATTTTTTATCTGTAAGCAAAGTGCTTTCATAGGTAACGGATATTATCCTTGATGTATTTATTCCAGTTTTTAGCTCTTTAGCTTTCTTTCACACAATTGGCCAAATTATTAAATTGTATCAGGTTTATATTTTTGTTGCTGAATGGCATCGCTGATGTTCTGAGTGCTTCTGTTATGCACATGTATTTCTGGCCTTGAATCAATTCAGGGCTAATGTATCCCGTGCAATCACCTCATCACTTTTCCCTTTATGACAATCACAATTTCTTTATTTCCTGTCCTGTCATTGTCTCTTGACTGTCTCCATTTTGTATGTTTATTTATCAAAAGCATTTATTTTTACACACTTAAGTGTAGCTATGCTACTGTTTTTGTGCTTAAGTTTGCTAAGTGCACATCAACCCACTTTTGTGGCAATCTTACACATCTGTCCTGACTGCACTCTTTGCGTTTTGTATGTTTTCTGAAAACTACAAAATTGTTCTGAACAATTTTGCTTGTTGCATACTAAGTGTACTTAAGTCATTTGGGGCAGGATTCCCTAATTTTAGGGGGAAAAAAACAAAAGAAAAAAATATCGTTGGAAGCCAGTCTCAAGTGCATTGTCTTGAAGACATTATGCAGCTGCTTTCTGCTTTTCTGATGAGTCAGAAAATGTATCTATGAACGAGAATGGGAATCTATCTGTCCATTATCCGAGTCGCTTATCCTCACGAGGACCATGCTGGAGCCCATCCCAGCCGTCTTCGGGCAGTGGGGAGAGGGTGGGCCACCCTGAACAGGTTGCCAACCAATCACAGGGCACACATAAACAAACAACCATTCATTTTCGCAGTCACACCTTGGAACAATTTAGAGTGTTCCATTAACCTGCCATGCATGTTTTTGGAATGTGGGAGGAAAACGCAGTATCCGGAGAAAACCCACGCAGGCATGGGGAGAACATGCACACTGCAAACAGGAGGGCCAGAGCCCGGAATTGAACCCTGGATCTTTGTATTGTGAGGCGGACATGCGAACCAGAAATAAGTTCTAGTGCATGTGAATGGTAATATTTGGGTTTAATACTCATTGAGACTGTTTGTAAAGGTGTTGGTGGGAACTTACCTTTGTACATGTAATTTCATTAAAATGAGTGCATGTTGTTTTTCAGCAATTTTATAATGTTTATGCTGTCTGCTCTATTAACCATCATTTTATAGTGCATCAGTATGCATGAAGAAGTGGGTCGTTGCATTTTATTAAATGCTGTATGAAATACGTTATTTAAATGTTGTGGCTTTAACATATTAGTACATTTTGGAAGAAATGTGATTTTTATTTTCATTTTTCTGGTTTAAGTATTCTCCGGCTAACATTTTTATGGCATATAGTATGTCCATTTTTTGTTTTCATCTGTTGTATGGTTTTCAGTAAATTCATGTAATTATTTTACCCAGAAGTGATAGCAACCTTATTTCTACCTCACAGATGACGATGTAACCCATTGCATTAACCGAACTCCTGTATTAACATTCCAGTCTATGAGGCTGGCTTTGTCGAAGCCACACACCATAAATAAACTGTTATTCATCCATTTGGCTACCGCACTGTTCTCTTTTTTTAACCGAATTATGCCCCTGACGTGCCATCGCACACGTAGCTTCTTCTCAATACTTAAATGCAGTGGTTCTTAACCTTGTTAGAGGTCCCGAATCCAACCAGCTCATATGCACGTTCACCGAACCCTTCTTGAGTGAAAAATAAAAATATGATTTTTTACAAATTCAAGACATTAAAAAACACATTTATTAAAAACAAATAAAATTACATGGAATAAGTATTTTTTTTTATATGACGTACTAACACGCCAGTCACATTGTGACGACTGAGCGAATTAAGTTTCCCGCAGCACTGATTGGACAAGCATGTGATCATCTGCAGCCAGCTATGGCCAAGTGGGCGTGTCATAACTAATTGACATTTTGAGGCAAGTATGTGTTAACCTACATGGCAGAGGCTCCGTCTAACCCCTAGGGTTCGATCGAACACAGATGAAGAACCACTGCTTTAATGTAATACAGGAAAAAAAATCCCTGCATTTCTGCGTAAAGTCCACTGGGTGGCATTAAATGCAACACCGTGAGTGACTACAGATTGACGCACAAACCAAAACAAACTCCAGTACTGTACAGTGTACACCATCAGCGGTTCTTCGGAAAATATACTGGGCGCTCACAACAAAAAAGGAAATGTCCCCCTCTCCGCCTCGCCTGTTTGCACTCTGTCGACGCGGAGGTTCGGTCGGCCTCTGGACCAGAACACTCGTACAAACAAGGGCTGAAGCGACCAAACTGAAGACCATCGATGACTTGCCCGGACCTACTTTGTCCAAAACACTTTTCTGGTTATTTGTCAAAGGCTATGCGGACAAAAGCCACTTGCTGCAGGTAAGCAGAACCACGGGCCGGACCTTCAGCCTGCTGGGTTCGGTTCGAAGGGGTGTCATTCGACGGATTTATTTTTAAAATCCTTCCAGTTAGTTTATAATTGAAGGTCTTTGTGCATGTTGTATACTTGCCGATTTTTAAAATGCTCAAATGTGGAATTAATTAAAAAAAATAAATCATGCTCTTTGTTATTTTGTTATTCATGGGTCTCTAATTAATGGAACCCTTGGCACGGCGTATTCGCTTTCTTTCCTGCGCAATCCTACTCTCATTATCATTAACCTACAAAGAGTAGTATGAAGTAACGAAGTATACCTAAGTACTGTAGTTTTCTGTTTTGTCTCCTTGAGTATTTTTTCCGACGACTCTTTACTCCTACGCCACATTTTAAAAAAATATTGTACTTTTTGTAAAAGGCTGCTTCTTATTTCATACAGTGTAAAAACAAAAGACAAATGGAGGGAGGTAAAGTCACCTGTGGTTGACATTGTAATTGATGTATTGAGTTAGATCTTCAGGTTGACGCAGCAGATTAAAAGTAGAAACGCAATATATTCCCCATCCATGTACTGTATTTCAGACTTGTTCAATGTTGTCGGCACTCGTGCTAATTATTTGTGGTAAACACATTGTGTTTTGTGCCACTCTAAAAAGTTTAAGGTGCATTTTTCAAGGAGTTAGCTTTCTCTAAATGACAATTTTTTTGTCAGTCGAAACATTGGCAAAGGTATGGGAAGAGGCTGGAACATGTTTTGATAGCATAAATAAAGCCAAGCTCTTAAACAACCTGCCACAGTTTTCCTTCTCCGTTTAAGCACTATGTAAGTTAAGAACAGAAGGAGCCTATTTTGCATGCTATTTTTTCTATATTTATTATTTACTTAAGTTAAGGAGTTTAATTAGTTCTTCGACAGTACTTCTACTAATACCAGTCTTTTCGTATTCAAGGGTCTGAAACTCTTCTACTTAAAAGGGGGAGTTTGCATTTAAAAAAAATCTTTTCAGAAACCACCACACCTGAGGAATAACAACACATCTGAGAAAAAAAAGGTGTGACAAATGGGGGGACAATCATTTACTGTGCTTTTTCAGGCATACAGCGATTAGCTTGAGCTTCAGGAGCATTTGTGAAATTTAGTATTTTGGAATATGCGCCTCAGAAAATTAAAAAAATAAAGTGTCCATTCCGCACTTGCGCACAACTGGGCATAAGACAGGCCAACAGAAGCAAAGCAAAGGCAGTTGAGAGGAGTACAGTAAATATTTGTATGAAAATCAAAACCAGTAAGTACGATGCTAACCGAGCTTGCTTTCTTTGTGCTGCGTGACAACATATTCTTACGCCGCATGCCCTAATGAACCTGCAAAAGTCATACTGTATATCACCTCCGACGTCCCATGGGAGCCTCTGCATTTTTCCCTTCACCTGACCTTGTTCTCTAGGGTGTACAGAAGAATCTGTACGGGCCCATCTGGCGCTCCAAGTTTGGCCAATTTGACTTGGTCAATGTGGCCAGTCCTGAGCTCATTGCTCAGGTGATCTATCAGGAAGGACGCTACCCTGTGCGAGCAGAGTTGCCACACTGGAAGGAATACAGGGACCTGAGGGGACAAGCCTACGGTCTGCATGTAGAGTGAGTACATGTACCTCCAGGGTACAAACATCTTCTGTGAATCAGCTTTGGCAGTCACATGTTTATAAATTGTATAAAGTGTTTTATTGCTAAATAGTATACAGTATTCGCTATTATTGTAAGCACAACATGTAAATTTAACATGATTGTAACCCTTTGGAACATTATGCACAGTTTGAAAATCAACAATGTGCTTTAATGCATGGGAAAAAGGTATGAATTACACATTATGGAAATGTCCTTTATTTCAGCATAATTTTTAAAAAACACAATATAAAAGACAAGAAACTTAAAAATACACTGTACTGTGAATGAAAAGTAAAAACAAATATCCTCAATTAAAGAAGCAAAAAGTCATTGTAACATTATGCAGTTGGATGACGTTATCCCTGCACTTAACCATAGGGGAAAAAAACACTCCTGTCTTTAAAATATGATTACATTCAAATGTATTGCACATAAAAGTGTACCTAGATACATGTTTAAAAACAAATAATTCATCCATCCATCCATTTTCTAATCCATTTATTTTCACGAAGGTCGCGGGCATGCTGGACCCAATCCTAGCTGTTTTCGAGCAGTAGGTGAGGAGGGACACCCTCAACTGGTTGCCAGCCAATCGCAGGGCACACAGAGACGAGCAACCATTTCGACTCGCACTCACACCTCGGGTCAATTTAGAGTGTTCCATTAACCTGCCATGCATGTTTTTGCAATGTGGGAGGAAACTGGAGTACCTGAAGAAAACCCATGCAGGCACAGGGAGAACATGCAAACTCCACACAGGAAGGCTGGAGCCGGAATCAAACTCTACACCTTCGCACTGTGAGGCGGACGTGCTAAACAGTCGATCACCGTGCCGGCCACAAACAGTTCATGAAGATTAAATTCAAATGTATTGAACTTAAAGTTAAATACAAATGAACTGTAGTAATAAAAACAGACTGTACTGTGCATTAAACAGACGAGATGAAAAAAAGAGTTTCCTCCACTGTAACATTGTGCACAGTTTAAACATTGTAACTTCACTTGAATATAGGAATATAAAAACACATGAAGCTTCCTGTGATTTGGTTAATAAGGCTAAATGGTGACATTTTGATTACTTTGACCATTCAGCAAGGGGCAGGAGTGGTACAGGATCCGAAGTGCTCTGAACCCAAAAATGCTGAAGCTGCAGGAAGTGTCAGCCTACGCTCCCATCATCCACCAGGTGGTCGAAGATCTGCTTAAACGCATTGAGTTTCTGCGCGCTCGCAGTCCAGATGGAGTTTCTGTTTCTGATGTGACCGCTGAGCTCTACAAGTTTGGCTTTGAAGGTGAGTTGCTGCTGCGATGATGCTGGAGGCAACAGTGGAGGTGAGGTGCTGTTGAAGTTCTTCTAAATGCCATCATGTAGGTATTTCCTACATTTTGTTTGAGACCAGGCTGGGCTGCCTCCAGGAGGACCTTCCTAAAGACACGGAGCGCTTCATCGCTGCCGTCAACGACATGCTGACGCTCTCTGAGATTGTTGTTATCTTTCCACGCTGGACCCGTCGCATCCTTCCTTTCTGGAAACGCTTTGTTCAGGCCTGGGACAACCTCTATGACATTGGTAGGCTGGAACAGTCGTTGTCAATGTTTTAGTTTTTTTGGTTAGGTTTTTAGAAAATTTAAAAAAATCATTATAATGATGCTAGATATGTTAAAAAACACATTACACATGTTGTTTTTCAGTATGTCCACCTGTTTTGTGAAGCTGAACCATGACTGGTCGTTACCTGAGCCCGAGCAATTTATTATATCATTTTCAGTCGTCAGCAAGGGGCAAAATGGCCACCCCCTGAGATGGACAAAATGGGTGGATTTTACTGCAAAACACATATTCCACACACTCAAATTAATCAGAATGCCACGTTTAGACTAGTGGAGCTGCATAGAACATATTCTCGTCAAGAAAATTTGGGGGTTGACTTCCTCTTTAAGCACTGTGCTGTACTTAACAAATGTACTGATCACTGTAAGGTTTTTGACAGTTGCGCGTACAACTTTGTGTGAAGCATTGGTTCTGAACTTTCTTTCGGTTTTGAGTTGAAATAGCTCACAATGAATTTTGACGCTATAGCGCAGAAGCTCATCGACAGCAGATTGGCTGACATCCAAACCCAGACCGAGCGGGGTGAGCTGACAGAAGGCTTATACCTGACCTACCTCCTGTCCTCCGACAAGATAACCCGATCTGAGATCTACATCAGTGTGACTGAGCTGCTGCTGGGCGGAGTTGACACGGTGATAACAACTTCTGATACACTTTCACAGGACAAACTCAGCCACAGACAGCGCTTTCCAGCATATTATCTGTTCACATCGGGGCTTGACTAATTTGGATTTTTTTTTTTTTTTTTTTTTAGGCCGATGCAATTCCGAAATTTGGCAGACTTAAATTCCGATCACCAATTGATTCGCAATCGATTTCCATAATATGTCATGAACTAACTGAAAAACCCACTATTGGTACGCATGTCCGCTTCACAGTGCAGAGGTGCAGGGTTCGATTCCAGTTCTGGCCTTCATGCATGGAGTTTGCATGTTCTCCCTGTGCCTGCGTGTTTTTTCTTCGGGTACTCTGGTTTCCCCCAACATTCCAAAAACATGCATGGCAGGTTAATGGAACACTCTAAATAGTCCCTAGGTGTGAGTGTGAGTGCAAGTGGTAGTTCGTCTATGTGTGCTCTGCGATTGATTGGCAACCAGTTCAAGGTGTACCCCGCATACTGCCCAAAGACAGCTGGGATAGGCTCCAGCACATCCCTAACCCATGTGAGGATGTGTGACTCAGATAATAGATGAATACATTACATTTGAATTTAGTTGAAGTAAATTTAATGCTTGCACAAATCTGCCCATTTTTTGTCAATTCTCCATGGGGGGGATGGTGCTGTTTGAATATAACATTTGTCTTGTGATGTAATGTGTTAATGTGTAAAAAAAAAAAAAAGAAAGAAATCGTCAAAAATCTGCAAAAAAAAATTGGCCGATTTTTGCCTACTTAGAGTATACATTGCCTGAATAAATCAGCCAGCCGATTACTCAATCTGGCCCTAGTTCACTATATTTATGTTTTTGGGGAGTGGAATCTACCCTCCATTATTTGCTAAAAAACTTGCCTGCTCTTTTTCTCGTCATCTTGGTGCCGAGGGAATACAGTACGTTGATGTGAGTTAAACAGAGCTATAATAAGTTTGGATTTTTCATTAATTATTTTTATTTCATTTTCAGGTTTTTTTTTTTGGTTTTTTTTTTTGAGTTAGCTTGATTTAGGTTTTTTTGTGTTTATTAGTTTAATTTTCTCCCCAAATCCTTCTTTTTAGTTTAATTTTGACTAGTTTTAATATTTTTCTAAATTTGGTATATTTCTTGTGTGCAACGTTTAAAAGAAATTTTTAGTTTAATTTAGAAAGAAAGACTCAACAAGAACATTATTTTAAAAACAACCTTTTACAAATCAAATAGATGTACTCTAGAGCAGTGGTACGTGTCTGCGGAATGTGGAAGTACTGGATTTCAAGGCCACTTGCGTCAGCCAATCCAGGCACTCATTATGCACAGCACATAAAATACGGTTGCAACGGTTGTTTGGCGCTTTGTAAATGTGTTGAGTGTTTTTAAACATATTTAACATGTGAATTTGTTTTCATTTTTGTCACTTTATACTCCTTGGCCACAATAAGGTCCTCAGAATGGATGACTTAACGTGTGGAATGTGAACACAAAGGTTGTCCATCCAGATGCACTTATGGTGCATGGTCTTGTAGAGTGGTTTATTTTTTATTTTTTGGACATTTTATTACTGTAGTGCAATCAAACTTAATATGGACTACAAGGGGAGTTGGTTCCGCTTTTCCATAAACTCCCAATTGAAATGCAAAACCAACCAAGTACACAGACAATATTTTCAGACGTTTCAAATGAAGTTCAAAAGAAGTCAGAGTGACAAATCAAATTAAGATGCTCCACTTTTAAGTGTTTGAAACGACTTGTTTGATCAAATAAGAGCCATGGGACTAAGACGTTTTTTTTTGTTTTTTTTTAAACAGAATCAAAAAAGCCCCAAATAAAAACATTTCACTAGAGGTTGAGCATAGGCTCTTTGGATTCATATAAAACGTTATGGAACAGCAACATGAAGATGTTAATACAGAGAGAAATGGTCTGTTTTTGAGCAATGGTGTCAAATGACATGGATCTTTTTTCGTTGAGGAATCAATCTGCCATCAACTCCGCCCATTTTGAGTTGGCTGCAGATTGATTCCCTCATCGGAGCCTACAAGTAGCTGCGTGAATTTAGCTGAATTAACGCGTCAGGCTGAGACGTGTTTGTCTTACTGGGACAGCCGCTCTCAAAGATAGCATATCTTGGGCCGTGTCCAATGCTAAAATTGTCTTCTTCTGTGATCCAAAGTGAACCTGTTGATGTGTTATGATGATGTCAGACCTCCAACACTCTGTCTTGGGCCTTGTACCACTTGGCGAGGGACCCGCGAGTGCAGGATCGACTCTACAGGGAGATAAATGCCGTGTGTGCCGACAGACGTAAGCCCAGCGTGGACGACCTTCAAGCAATGCCCTACTTGAAGGCTGTCATCAAAGAGACGTTACGGTGAGCTGTCTCATGTGCTCCACTTTGCACAAATATTTGGAGCCACCCAGTTCAGGGTTCAATGCACACCAAATGTTTTTAGTCCTGTTCTCTCATGAGAGCTGACTCTCTGAAATGTTCTTTCGCTCCAGCTTGTATCCTGTTGTTCCTGGCAACGGACGCTTTGTTACAGAAAATGAGGTGGTGGTAGACAACTACTGGTTCCCAAAGAAGGTACTGGCACACAGAGTCAGCAGTCTGCTCGAGGTTTCTTCCTTAGAAAGAAGGATTCCTTGCCACTGTTGCCCCGTGCTTGCTCATGCGTGGTTCGGTTGGGCTCGGAATGTGTAAGGGGTGACCATCTCGACCTACTCCAACTGTAAAGTGCACTGGGGGAACTTAGATTGTGATTTTGCCAGCAATGTCAGTGACGCGTTTTACTCGAAAATGTGAACATTTAAAAGTAACAACCAATCTAATGCCTTAATTTTTTCTAGTTAAGAAATCAGATTACAGTTACATTTATCGTACCAGCAAACTATTTCACAGATAATATTTACTTCTACTAAGATGTATTGTATTATTGCACGTGAAGTCAGTACTGTATTTTAAAAAGTAGCACTTTTCACCATCAAAGGCAGTTAGTTGCATTTACTACCTCCAGGTTAGAGCAGTGATAAAGAATTAACAAGACTTAAAAACAAAACAAAAAAACCACACACTTCTCAGCCCTGGTGATTCCCTGTCGCTTTTATTGCAATTTATAAAATATAAGAGTTTATGAATAGTGAAATCCAGGAGGACACTTGATTCCTAACACCATAGTATTCACTCAAGGTACTCAACAAACAGCCATATAGAGTATTATGGAACACGTAAGAAAGGGAAACTGGTATTTACAGCTTGAAGATGGGAAGGCATCCTGGGAATTTTCATCTTCACATTCCCGTCTGAGGGAGCGCCATCACAAATGTGTCCTGTCATGTTTTCAGCAAGAGTTTCACATTTTCAAGCTGGAAATACAGTCACTTTTGAGTTTGTGCCAGCTCATAACAAAATACTATGGTTTGTTGCACACGCGGTGCTATCGACAAGGTGTTAGCTAGCTTCAATAACTAGTAAAAAAAAGAAACAAAAAAAACATGTCAGTACAGTATGCATTCACAAGTGTCTCTCCAGGTTGTGTGCAGGAGGACCTCAAACTTAATTGCTATAGTGATATACAATGTGCAGCATATTATAAAAATTGTGTTTTGTTGTTACAACAGTAATACTTAAAGATGTCACGCAAAAAGACTGCTTTTATTTGAGATATTATTTTAAAATTTATTTGTTAAGCGAAGTCTAGAAAGACTGTCAGTATCTGCTGAATGTAACTGTACAAATAACCTCTAATCTAACTTTAATTTTAAAATGAAGTAATCAGTAAAGTATCTGTTGCTTTATCAAGGTGGTGGTGCTGGGGTGAGGTGCAAAAGCATGTTACACTCAGGTAATCACTGACACTGTTTTATTGTGTATGTATTTATAAAGTACAATATTATTGAGTGCTATTTTTCCTACAAAAAAAAAAAAAAAAAACAACAAAACACTACACCGTTTTAGTGGGTGAGGCTGAATGGCATTCCCATCTTTCTCCAGCTCACCGGTAACCAAAACAAGGTTTAAGTCCTATAGAAAATGTTTGAATGGATTAATCGAAATTATAGTCAGATGCTTTCACATGCCGCTGTGAGATCCAAAGGACACGCTTGTGCCATGTTGCTTCCAGACTCAGTTCCACCTGTGCCACTACGTCGTTAGCCACGACCACACACAGTTCGCCCGTGCTGACGAGTTCATGCCAGAGCGATGGCTTCGCGCTGCTAGGGTGACGCCAGGCCCCTTCCGGCACCACCCATACAGCTTCATCCCCTTTGGTGTGGGCGTGCGAGGCTGCGTGGGTAAGAGAGTGGCCGAGATGGAGATGTACTTTGCTCTGTGCAGGGTAAGCGCCACCATGTTTGTCTCATATCACGCAACCAGAATTTTAAAGTGCTAAGAACTTAGTCAGGAATGCCAACTTGTTGTTGGCAGCTGATGCAGCACTTCGAGGTCCGGCCGAGGGGAGACGACTGTGCCACCATCCAGGCCAAAACGCGAACGCTGCTCATTCCTGCAAAGCCCATCGACCTTCGTTTCCTGCAAAGAGCCTGAGGAAATGAAACCGAAAACTGTATCCAGCACAGAAGAAAAAGGTGGAGCTTAAGGCAAAGACAACAACAAAAGGATTTGATTCAAGTAGTTTTCTCATTACTGTTCACTGAGTACATACATCCATTTTCAACACCTCTTATCTTGAACAGGGTTGTGTGGGGTTGTTGGAGCTTATGCCAGCTGACTTTAGGCGGAAGGCCGACTATACCCAGAACTGGTTGCCAGTCAGTCACAGGGCACATATAGTGACAAACAACCATTCACACCCCACATCCACTCCGTTCCCGAGTGGGAACCGATTTTCCGCTGCCCGCACACAACTCAGGCGAGCGTAACACGACACCATCAGTGACTTCACTGAATAGATTCTGTTCAATTCAATTTTATTTGTCATATTCAATTAGATAGATGGCGGCCCGGTAGTCCAGTGGTTAGCACGTCGACTTCACGGTGCAGAGGTACCGGGTTCAATTCCAGCTCCGGCCTCCCTGTGTGGAGTTTGCATGTTCTCCCCGGGCCTGCGTGGGTTTTCTCCGGGTACTCCGGTTTCCTCCCACATTCCAAAAACATGCATGGTAGGCTGATTGAACACTCTAAGTTGTCCCTAGGTGTGAATGTGAGCGTGGTTGGTTGTTCGTCTCTGTGTGCCCTGCGATTGGCTGGCAACCGATTCAGGGTGTCCCCCGCCTACTGCCCGAAGACAGCTGGGATAGGCTCCAGCACCCCCCGCGACCCTAGTGAGGATCAAGCGGTTCGGAAGATGAATGAATGAATTAGATAGATCTAACCAGTAGTTACATTAGCAAGGACCTTTTCAAGTGTATGAAAATAATACAGAACACTTATAAAATAAAACCCACATCACATCCTGTATGTATTCCTGACTACAATACACCCAAAACAAGGTTGAAATGTCTTGTTCGACTTTGGCACATGATAGACGCTACACTACGCTTGTTTAATCCTTAACTTGTACCACAAAATCTAATGACGGATTTTGTTTTGGTATTTTGCGAGTTGATTCATCTTTGTTGGTGACTCAAACATAGTTGACTTTTACATACTTTACTGTCAATACACAAGACATTTTCATAACTTCACACAGTACCAATGAAAAGCTGCGCGCTATTCATTTTCCCTCTTTTATTAACTTGCATAGTGTACGTTGTGATGTGAAAAAGAGAAAAAAAAACACCGAATAAAAACCAGGCATATTTTTTACTTTAGTTCCCTTTGCACTCACTCCTGTTATTAGACCACTTGGACCCTCCTTCATTATAAATTTAATAATTATTCTCGCCAAGTTCCATATCCACAAATCCAGATGAGTAATTTAAAACCTCTTTTCTTAATTTTTGAAACAGAAATAAAGCAGTACCTAAGTTCTATTATGGTTTCTAAAAACAAGAAAGCTATTAAAACTCTGGCTATATGCTCCTTATTTGAAATTTTTGTTTAAAATCCCCTGGCTTCTTTTTTGTTTAAATGTTTGTAATATGTGTATGTATTAATAACATGTTCATTTTATTTTCCGTTTATTGAGAATTGTATTAGAACTAGTTCGAATAAAGATTCTATAAAAAAACACTTGGAGATAGGATATCGGCGAGTGGCTTACTTGCAGAACATGGCCGAAACTGGTAATGCAAAATAAGTATTGTCAGTCGCCCTCCTCTGGACACTTCAGGTATTGTAGCGAACATGATCTTGTACTGAAGTTCGTTGTCATGATGTTTTTTTTTTTTTTTCATTGTCATGATGTAGAGAAGAGATTTTGTCGATGGTCAACCTACCAACGTGCACTGCCCGAGGCTCCCCACCACCCATTTTGCCTCACAGAGCAGCATGTTAGGCAGAAGAAATGCTCAACTGTGAGTGAGACGGGTTGGAAAAATAAATTCAGCCAGTTTTCGCTCAACTACAATTAACAAAGCCACAAGGTAATTACACTAATGACAATTACAAGATGAATACACGGGTTGATGTCGTTCTGTACACTTTGTTGATCATTATTCTTTAGTACACTGTTTTTAGGCCTTATTGTGCACAAAAGGGTGGGCACTCTAAAATTTGTTGTATGCAACAATGACGAATGCTATTCCTTCGTGTGGCGACCAGTCCATGGGGTACCTACTCTGTCGCCCTTTTTCAGGCGAGGGAGTATTTGTGCAACTTTTTAAAAAACTTTTTAATGAAAATTATGTTTTTGTGAGTACTTTTCTAGGTGAGGAGTGTTTCTAAGACACCCGCTATTTTTTTCCCCGTCTTTTTCGAGAAGGTGGGTGTTTTTCGACTGTCAGCCTGTGGGTGGCGCATTTGGCCTTCACACAGTCAGTGTTCCAGGCGGCGCGCGGGCATGAGCGGCTGCCTGCCATCTTCATGGGAAGCACGACATCCCGCCTCCGTCCGTCCGTCCATCCGGGCCCGCTCCACTTTCGTCTGCCGACCTCCCCGCGGTGCTCCTCTTCGTCGACCTATTTGAAAGAGCTCCAGTCATGGAGGACTAGTCCGCATCCGGATCATCGGGAGAGGCGCGTCGTCCCGCCCCACGCCGACGGACGAAACACACCTTTTGACGGGCTGGGTGTCCAAGGAATGGTCGGGTCTCGGGCTGCGGTGGCCCCCTCTGAAGTCATGAGGACGTCGCGGTGCCGAAGCGTCACCCCGTCGGAGGCGATAATGGTGAGTCCCCCGTCAGTCGTCTTTTGCACCACCTGCTGTCAAACAACGGATGCTGCCGAGTCATTCGTGAGGAAGAGTCGGAATGCACGGCATTGAATTGAGGTCAGTCAGGGATGGAGGTCGATCGGGGTTTCGCGGATGGCCGCATCGCGGTCGATGAGTTCGTCGAGAGGCTCAACGGATGGTTGGCAGTGCAACGTGAGGCACAAACATGGGGGCTTTTGCAGCACTGACGTCTCCCCGCGGTCCGTGACAGCAGCACGCACCATTTCACTTCTCTGCTGAAGGCAGCGTTTATTCAATTTTAATCACCTTAATTTCACATTCGAGGCGCGGACGTAGACAAATACGATACAGATATACTAAAATATTCCTGTGAATTATATCCATATTTTCCAAAATGCACCATACAAGTTGCATGCAGCTGTACAAATGTCTCCAAACATGTCTAGTGCACTTAATTGTCAGTTTACTAGTATGCTTTTTGTCCTCACCGCCACGCACGACTGCCTTATTAAAAATGTCCCCCCCCACCCCCCACTATTCTGTGTGACATTTCTGTGCACCATTCATACCATTTTTGGCCAACTAGCATGTAAAGAAACCTACTGTGATGCACTTGCCCCAAGGCCAAACTAGTAGGCATTTTGATAGCTATTTGAGCATTTATTTGGTATCGGTTTATTTTCCATGTACTACTGCAGTATGCTATTTCTAATGCAGGGATGGACAACTTAAATGCTGGAAGGGCCCATAATTTTTCATCAGTACTACTGGGGGCCGCATAATATCATGTACTTCCTAACCAGCTCTGACAAAAATGCCATTTTAAATATGGACAAAAATCATCCATGCGTCTGTGATTTATTGCCCCAATGTGAATCACAGTATCTTGCTCAATGCACATATCAGCGATCCAGCCTTGAACAACAAAGTGTTTGAGCAATCACAAAATAACTACAAATACTGTGATCCCCCTCCCCTCCCCATTTACAAAGGGTACATGTGCATAAAAACTACCATTCAAGGCACCAAAATAAAAACTGCTGAACAGCTAACCAAAATATGTGCAAGAAGTTATTTTGTGCATTTTTGTCCTGCATTGAAATGCATTGGATTTTGTTTTTTTGTTTTTATTGTAACGCCCCCCCCCCAAAAAAAAAATTCTTTCAATAAAATGCTGGTCAGCCTCTTGTATGCAATTTTCATGAAAAATGCAGGTTGCCCCTACACCCCGCAAAAAACACTAAACAATTTTAAAAAATCTAGATTGAAATCTGTGAAAAGGGTGCTGAACCACAAGTATGCAGCAGTCCACTATTGAAAAATGCACATAACCCCCACACCCAAAAACAAAAGTAACAATAAATATTTTTTTTGTTTGTTTGTTTTTTTCAATTGACCAAAGGGCTGCATGCGCCACACCAGTTGCCCTCCTCACTCTAGTGTGACCAACGAAGGCTTGTGTTGTGTGCAAGTGGCCAGGATATCAACACAGTCATTGAACCCTACGGCTCTGTGAGAGTTCATGAGGAAAGAAATGCCCCACATGTTAGTTTTGATCTGCTCATGTGTCATCATCCCCCCCCCCCCTTCCCAGCTCCTTGCAACGCGGCCATGCGGCTTTTGTTTGTTTAGTTCCTCTGAAGAACGGTAGCTGTTGTCCGTGGCAACAAGCATCATTTACATTCATCAGCTCACGCTGCACGGAGGCGTCTTGGTTCTTTTTGCTGAGGCTGAGATGCGACAGAAAAAGAGGAGGCTTTGTCGGAGGAGGTTGGCGCTAACGGTGTAATGAGTGGCTGCATACGGAGGTGGGTGGCCTGAGAACCACCTGCAGCTGTGCAAAGTGCAAACAGAGCACACAGAAAGCACTGTCAGATAGTTGAAAATATTCCCCTTTTCCACTTGTACTTAAGGTTGCAAAAATCTAGGGACATTTTCTGTAAATTTCCGCAAAGTTAAGATGGGGAGTTTTGGAAAAAATTTAAATTTGAGACTTTCCATGGGAATTCATAGAAATTAAATGGAGCTTTATAGAATTTGTCACTTTATTTCAGAGATGGCTTTATGTGTCCCTAAATCTAATTTTGACGCTGAAAATGTTTTTGAGTTATTGAAAAAAAAAAAGAAAAAAGTTTTTTTTAAGTTTGGCTTATAAAACCTTGTGCAAAATGGATTTTACCATGCATTCTAATCAATAGCGATGATGTTTCAAAATAAAATTCCACCTGTTGACAAACCTAACTCTCAATTCATAAATATTATTGAATATATTACATACAGTCATATCTCGGTTTTCGACCATAATCCGTTCCAGAAGGCTGTTCGAAAACCGATTTGTTCGAAAACCGAAACCTCACTCTGTTTTTTAAAAAAAAATCTTTATTGAACACGTCTGTTCACAATGTAACACTACATGAGGAAGCGTCACTTCCTCGTCTACCCGAGGAAGCGTCACTTCCTCGTGTAAGGAAGGCGAGAGGAGTCAAATGACGCATTCAAGTGCGCTCAGTTTGTTCGAGAACCAAAATTCGGTCGTCATCCGAGGCATAAAAAAACTCAAAATTTTTGATCGAAAACCGATTTGGTCGAGAACAGAGACGTTTGAAAACCGAGGTTTGACTGTATTAGGTTATTGTTATTTTATTATGAAAACCTGACATGCTAAAGAACAACAAGGGAAGATTCAGAATCAGTGCAAAAAAATCCATTGTGAAAAATTTTGTTGCCTTTCTGATTTAAAAAAAAAAAAAATGAAGCATTTGTTGCTCAGTGTAATCTTCAGCAAAAACGAGGCTAATCTGAAAGTGCTTCCTGTTTTCGTTCTTCTTCACATTGTCAAATAGCAGGACCGTGACCTGGAAACGCGCATTGGATGGGGGGCTTACTGTATATTTAAGTTCCCTTTTAAGGTTAACTTTTGTCCTTCATTCCCATATGACATTTCCGCCTTTGAATTTTGCCACCCTAGTCGAACCACCATTTCCTTTGTGTCACGCTCAGGCCTGTCGTCCACGTGCTGGCACCCAGTCACACTTTCCACAGAAGAGTCATATCGATCTACACCGACTGGTCTCTGCACAGTAATATTGAGCAGCAGGAAACCACTCAGCATTTGTTCGCCTGTGACTTCAGATGAACAGGACAAAGAGAGGTTGCCACGTGCACTGAGTTATTTAAGGATAAGCTCCGCGGAGCTCTGTGAAGATCTCGTTAGGCCAGTGTGAGTAGATTCAAGGGCGATACCGGAGTAAATCTCAACTGCATGTAGCTCCTTAAAGAGGTTTTTTTTTTTTTTTTAGCTGTTCACTTCCAACTACATTGCTTCAGTGTGCTAGATTTGTATTGTTTGCAATCTTCCAGAGTCTGATCTACTTGCTTGACATTATGGTATGTACACTGTGTGTGTGTGTGTGTGTGTGTGTGTGTGTGTGTGTGTGTGTGTGTGTGTGTGTGTGTGTGTGTGCGCGTGCGTGTGTGCGTGTGTGTAGTTCAGTCATCAGAACGCCGATGGATGGATGGCCGGATGTTTGTTTACATACAACAACTGATCAGCATGTGCGCGACAGAGCCATAACCGACACCATCTCACGCATGCGTGCATAGACAATATGTGCTTGCCAAGCCTCTGATTGGCTCTCATGCTGTTGCTATGACAGTCATTGCTCTGTCATTTGGAGGAGACAGATCAAGCCTCACAAGCATCTGTCAGCATTCCATCGTTGTCATAGTGACAGACAGGAAGAGGCCAGACCGGGGGGGGCGGGGGGGCGTCAGGGAGGCTGATTGTTTATCTTATGGTTCAGGATCAAAATTCGCCTGTGAGATTTTGTTTGATTTGACTAAGAGGATGTTGCACATTGACATCTGCGGTACAAAATGGCTTAATGCTAACACACATACACATGGACAAACACAAACAGACAGACAGACACAGTCTGGTGTGGTGCTTTCCTTCACCAAATATGCTTATTAATGACAGATTTGTGTCCATGCCGATGTTGTAGTGACTACAGTATACAAGTTGCGGAACATTTTGAAATATCTTTTGTCTCAGACTCAGGAGAACATGAAGGTTATATTCATTCATTCATTCTCTATGTTATCCATGTCAACGTTTCAGAGACACCAACTTAGACACCGTCAAACCTGTGAGTGGTGATAAATCATTGTCAAACGAGAGGTTTGCAATATTAAAACCAGAGTTGGGTGGGTTACTTTAAAAATGCATTTTGATGAAGGTACTAGTCACTTGTCAAAAAAAATGTAATTAGAAAAAAAATTTTATTAGTAATATCATCCAAGTACCATAAACTTATATTAATGTAACTTGTGTGAAAATGTACTTTCAATTGATTTTGAATTAGGCCTACTCCAAAGATATCAACAACAACAACAAAATCAGTACGATAAATTTGGATGTGTATTTGCCTGGTCTTTTCTGTCTTATGAATGTATAATATGCATGGTTTTGGAATCAGGGAGGAATCCTGAGCAACTTGAATTCAAATTCATGGCTCTGTTTTCGTGAAAGGTGTTATTCTCCGTAGCACATGATGTGACTGAGCGGAGGCGGGTTAGACCTGGTGTTGGTAATTTTGCAGATGAGTGCAGGGCGGCAGATCTGTGGTCTGCGCCACGGTGGGAGTGAACACAGCTCCTCTGATTTCTTTTCAATGAAATGCACTACTTAACTAGTTTTTGACATGTGGGCCCAAAACATGCGCAGTGTGAAGTGAGCGATTGGAGCCACCCCCGCCCCACGCCCCATTCAACTTTCAATTACGTAATTTCCTGATCGCTTCCTCTTTCTACCTACTAATTCCACTGGAAAGTTTTTCACGATTGACTTCGGTCACAGGCACCTGTTTCATCCACAGGTGAAGGCATTCAGCCGGGAGGCGCTCCGTAGTCTCCCAGTTCCCTGGCTTCTCATCTGATCGCCTCTCATCCTCCATTTCCTGGGTTCTCCATTCTTCTTTTTGCTCATCATGACGACTATCCTGGAACCACTGCAGGCTCGCCCTGAACTGGAGCTGAAACCCTGGCTACTGAACGGATGCGCAGACTCGGCTGGCCGCTACAAGGTGGTCCCCTCCGTAGTGTGCTCCATGTGCTGCCTCTTTGGTGTAATTTACTGCTTCTTTGGTAAGTTGAACCTTTGGCGGACCTCACACCACAGTATCGCTTGATTTACACCGACGTGAATATAAAAAGTCACATGACAATTATTTTTTTTATACAAAAAGAATAAGATAATGCTAAAACAAAACATTCAACACTGTTTCCACCATTATTGTGACCTGCACAACTCAATGCATTTTTGTAGTTTTAATCTTTTTGGAGGTGAAGTAAAAATGAACAACTAAACGTGATTACACAAGTGTGAACATTCTCATATAACTTGGAGGCATCTGGTTTCATAATTAACCAATCAAACTCATGAGAAACGGAGTCAGCACACACCTGACACCATTTAAATTGCCTGATTAACCCCTCTCCTATTCAACATGAGTTTGAATGTAATTGGTCAATTCTGAAAATAGCCACATTCCAGTTATAAGAGGGTGCTCGCACTTGTGCAAACCCGTAATTTGCGTTGCCCTACCTTGAATGGTGAAAATCAGCAAGTGATTATAGTCAACGCTAGAAGTTTAGCCATAAATATACCACTATTGTCACAACACAGTTTATTTCAAAATCATCTTAGAACATTAATATGTAATTAGCCAATGAAAGAAGAAGCAGTAAACCGAAAGCAACAGTAACAAATTGACCAAACGTACAGCTAGCTTTACGCACAGCTGATGAGCAGCCATGACTTCCAAAGATGAAGCCATTTTGACAAGCGAAGTTCCTCCCTTAGCGGTATCTCCAGAGCGACGCGGAGGAGGAAGCTGTTGTGCATGGTATGTCGTCAAAAACAAGGCGATACGAGAAACCTGTTGAATCATTGGAACAGGTAGCACCCAAGTGATCAAATGGAAAACATGAAGACGTGAGCAGTTTGCACAGCCTGTCCACGTAAACATTAGCAGTTTAGTCGCTAATAACCAGCTGGCAGCCACAGATGAAAGCAGCAATCAATTGTGTCATCTTTTGATCAGTCACATTTGCAAGTCGCATGATGCAAACGCCATATGTACTTTAAAATTATGTTTACATTGTAAGGCGTAATTCTTATTCCTGATCAGTCCATTTCTTTGTGGTTCTCTGTTATTTTATTTTATTCTACATTTGTTGTACAGTTGAATAACACTGAAATGAATGGGGGGAAAAAATCTCTAAAATTATCTTTGTTGTCAGCACCAGTGCTTTAAAACTGGCAATTTAAAAGCAATGGAAAAAAATGGTTGCCAGTCCGCGGACCAAATGTACCTGTCTCAACTGGTCTGTGAAACAAAAAAAGTTGGGGACCACTGTCTTAGAGTTTAACAGAAAGAGCACAAAAATGTGAATTGCTGAGAGTTTTCAGCAAATGACAGGATTGGTAATGCACAATAGGTGAATTTGCGAACAACTTGGTTGGGGACTACTGTACTGGGTTTCCTTGACATCAAGAAGGCAATGAATGGGTGTACCTGGTCTCAAAATTGTGCTATTTGACAGCAAATATATGACTTGTGTCAGATGAACACACAGTATAAATCAATTTTCATCCATGAACAGGCTGGAAGAGCTTTCTGTCCAGTAAGTCATTTGTGGTTGACCCTCCCGCAGGCTACCGCTGCTTCAAGGCGGTGATGTTCCTGACAGGCCTGATGTTCGGCTCGGTCGTCATCTTCATGCTCTGCTACAAGGAGCGCGTGCTGGACACCCAGCTGAGTGTGGAGGCCTCGGTGGGCATCGGCCTGGGCATCGGCACGCTGTGCGGCCTGGTTACCATGCTGGTTCGCAGCGTGGGCCTCTTCATGGTGGGTTTGCTGCTCGGCCTGCTGGTGGCCGTCGCTACCCTGGTGGGAATGGAGGAGCTTTCCCACAGCCCGCCACGCTCTGTCTGGGTGCCTCTGGGCGTGCTGCTTGGCCTGGGCATGCTCTTTGCCGTGCTCACCCTCCAGTGGCAACGCATCTTCACCACGCTGTCCACCGCTGTTTTCGGCGCGGCCGTCATCACCGTAGCGCTGGACTACTTCGTGGAGCTCTTTGCGCTCGTACTGTACATGTACGAGCGGATGAAAGCCGTGCCTGGGAAGCCGGTTTGCTGGCTTACGTGGGTGGTGCTGGGGGTGTGGCCTGCCCTGACCCTGTTGGGCGTGGTGGTCCAGTGGAAGGTGACTGCTGAGGGCTATTCGCATACCAAGGGTGAGGACACATGCCATTAGCTGTGCCCTAATTCAGAGGTGATGACGTTCCTCTGTAGAAAGGCTGTGTAAATTTGAAGGGTCACCTCAATGTTGTCTGAAGTGTACAGCCCCTGAATTGGGTCACAGATAGTCTTTTACTCACAATACCTTTTGTGCTTCTGCTATTAGCTTCTTTTCATTTTCGTTTCAAGCACCTAACGGAGCCCCCGTTTCCTCTTCCCCAGTCATCATCAGTCGTCAGCAGAGGAGGATGCAGGTGATGCGTATTCGACAACGGGACGACCGCTACCGTCACAAGAAGAAAAAGAAGAAGCATCTGGTGTCCTCCTCCAACCAAAACCAAGCCAAGCAACTCCACCAGGACCACGCCTATCGCCGCAAGCCCAATCCCATTCGGCGCTATGACACCGACGTCCTCTCACCAGTGAGTAGAATCATAGACCACACATGATCCCTTAGCGGGTCTGTCTCACAATTTTTAGGTTGCGGGTCCAAATTATTGAAGATTCCAAATGGTCCTGAGGTGTGATAAATCAAAAAGTCAATGATTTTTTTTTCAGAAGTTTGGGCCGGTCAGCAATCCTGCATCCCACTAGAATAGATCCGCAGACGTACCAAGCTCTCAAGTCAGAGATGAAAGTTCTCCGGATTTTCCCGGAATTCCGGGTTTTTCAAATTTTTATGAAAATTTCTCCGGAGAATTGAGGAAAATTTGCATAATCCGGATATTTGTTGACAACATTGAATGAAGACGCGTTTGAGTTCGTTGTATTGCTTTCACGAGCGTAGCCATATTGAGGTACTAACACTAGTAACAGTAAAGAGATTTTTGTTTGTGTAATAACGACAGAAGACATGATGGCGTTTGACTAATGGTTTAGTAGAACGAATGGCAACTCGCAACAACAGTAGCAAGCGTCATTTTGCCTCTTGGGTTATACCATCTCAACTAGAACGTGGGGGATAGTCCCCAAACAATTTTCGTCTCTTTATAAACACACCCGCTAAACCCCAGTGGAAAGAATAAAAGAGGCCGTCAACAAGACAGTTGTCGTAAAATATATATTTGGCCAAAAAGGAAAAAACACAGATTGGCAGAAAATCGTGCCCGCCCGACATAGTGTCGTCTCGGCTAACTTAGCTTA